CGGTGCATTACCTTTCCCTGCCGCCGCTGCGGCTCTTCACCTCTGGCGTTGCTGCCACCGCGGCCTTTTTCCTTTCTCTCATCGCTACAGCAAATTGCTGTTCTGGCGGTGTACTTCTCCTCCCCCGCCGCCGCTGCGGCTCTTCACCTTTGGTGTTGCTGCCACCGCGGCCTTTTTCCTCTCATCGTGACAGCCGTTCTGCTGTTCTGGCGGTGTACTTCTCCTCCCCCGCCGCCGCTGCGGCTCTTCACCTTTGGTGTTGCTGCCACCGCGGCCTTTTCCTTAGACAACTACGGCCTAGTTTGGCTGATGCCAAACTCTACCGTGTACAGACAAAAGATATAAAGGAAGATATCAATTCAAACCTACCATGCACAAAAGAAAGATGAAAAGGGAGACATCCTTGCTCAAACCACGACATTCGTTGCAAACGGAAGGACTAGTTCAAAGCAGGAAAATAAGGGAGTCCAAAGATATGGAGGATCGGGTCGAGAAATATGGTTGTCATGGTGGAAGTTGTCCGTTGGAGATATGTTTGGTTGGAAGAGGTTGGCAGATGTTGATCCAGTTGGTGGACAGTTGGTGGACAGTTGGTGGTGACCGGCCGGTTTTATTGTCGTCGCTGGGTTTTGTGGATGGTAGCTAGCGTTATCTAACCAGCCAGCAGCTGCAGCCAGTTATATTGCCTAAATGGGCTACGCTACACAGCTATCAGCCAGCAGCCAACAACCAGCATCAGCGAGTATGCGCGTGTCGCGGCTGTTGCCGCGCGTGTACAGTCTGTCGTGTTTTCGTTTGTGGTGCCCACAGCCCTGGTTGTGCACAATTGATTTTCATTTGTTTGGGGATTACCTAATTAAGGGGAGGCTACACCTTATTATAGAGTTGCAAACGTACTTTGGTTTTTAATAGCGAGTACGCAAGCATTATTAAACACACATTTTAACCAAAACTGAACACAAAGACATGTAGATATTTTTATTCTGGACGTGCACATGCCGATTTAACCCGATTTGGACTTGGATAGCTCGTGCTTACATGGGCTTAAATCGTTGCTTGTAAGCCTGATGCGCGTGAAGAAACTCACTAAAACCGAAGCAAAACGAATGCCCAAGTTACCCACACGACTGACGAACGTGCAACCTGGTGCAACCGACTTTTTTGGAGCGGAAGCCAGGTACATTTATCCACTCAGCGAAAGACAGCTTCCCTTATGCCCAAAAAAATCTAAGTCGTGGTAAACTTAGTTTAGAGGCGTAACATCGCTGCTAAGCGGGATATCGGACTGTCCAGCAGCCTTTCGAATCCACACATCGCTTGTCTAATACGGCCAAGGGAAATAGGGTAACCATCCCCTGAGACTGCACATTGGTTAATTAATTTAATCGTCGTCCACGACAAGTCATAGCAGGATGATGCCCAGTCAGATGCCGGCTCATTGCCATTGTCTAGAGGGTAGGACGCAAGGTCGGGGAGAGCAATTCTTTGGACTGCCCCGGCCGCACAATTCCTGTGCTTCCCTTATTCCACAACCCGAACAGGCGAATTCTGACTGTCCGAATGTCCCTGCCAGGCCAATCCGACACCCCGATAGGCGAATTCTGACTGTCCGAATGTCCCTGCCAGGCCAATCCGACACCCCGACAGGCTAATCCTGACTGTCGGAATGTCCCTGCCAGGCCAATTCATGTCCCGGTCAGGCCAATTCAAGGGCCTGTCCCAGCAATTCAACTTGTCCCGGGTATAGCCCCCGTGCCAATTTAAACCCTTGTACCGAGCAATTTCGACCATTGCGGGGTAGGCCCGGAAACTCTCAGGCAGGCATCCAGAATCGCGGGAGTTGAAGGAACTTAATGAAACCCTGTAAGGGAAGCAGTTACCAAGTATCTCTCGTGTGTACTGTGTTGGTTTCGATTCCGCACATGGGCCAGGAAGTGGCAGGAACCCTACACGCCTGGTTACCGTCCTCCGTACTCATTCATTCATACATTCATTGTGTGTTTGTGTGTTTGTGTGTTTGTGTGTGTGTGTGTGTGTGTGTGTGTGTGTGTGTGTGTGTGTGTGTGTGTGTGTGTGTGTGTGTGTGTGTGTGTGTGTGTGTGTGTTTTCAACGAAAAGATACCACCACCACGAATACACGGCGCCCTACACAACTTGTACACAACACGTACCTTAGCATATCTGCTTGAATCTATCGAGGTATCGAAATAAATGTCATGTCTAAAGATAAATCATAAACAATTAGGTGTTTTTTCAGATGATAAATCTACTTTAAATACCGTAGAATTCTGGTTTGTTTATTGTTGGCTTGCCCACCTAAAAGGTGGGCAAGAACCTAGATGTTGGATGAAATGGACGAGCATGCTCGGACTGAGACACAATTACACTTTGCGCAATCCGGAACGAGCGTCGTAAAACGAGGCGCTGCGTTCGGTGCCTTGGCGCGGTGTTATTAAATAACAGAGAAAATATGCTAAAATGCAAAGGCGGAAGTCCGGAAGATGTGCAGTGTGAAGAAGTGGCCGAGCATAAGGCGGTTACAAAAATTCGCATGACCCAAATCGACCAGACATATGAGATGTGACACCCGGAAAATGGCAAATTGAAGAAGAAGTAATTAAAAAGAACCAGTAATAATGAAAGTTGTGTTTGAGAACTGCAGGAAGAGATGTGTAAGGAGCTGCGCATTAAAACCGGACTGTGCATCTGCAAAATTAACGAGGAAAATATTCACAGTAAGGCGAGGGAGAGGAGGGAGAGGGGGGAGAGGAGGGACAGACGGAGAGAGTATAGGAAGAGGAGAGGGGGGGGAGGAGGGAGCGAAAAGAGAGGAACGAGAGGAGGGAAAGGAGGGAGAGAAGAAAGCGGAGGGAGCGGAAAGGGAAGAAGGACATGAAGGCAAAGAACACGTTAATGTTGCATGTATTGCCGTGTTTTGTCTTTTGAGACAACAAAGCTCATGATCTTCCCAACGCATCCCAGAAAACACGACAACGTGAAGCAGCAAGCATAGAACATCGATCAAAACGTCGTAACAAGCATAGAACCTTGAACTCGAATACTGCAGGTAGAGAATTGTAAAAGAGTTAATCCTTCATAACAGGAAGTACATCTGCAACATCAATATACTGTCTCGGGAAAGGGGGCCTTTGGTGAAGTTTCACCACCCTGTAACGACATACTGTCGCCACATTTCAGTGTCACGTTCATTTTACCGTCTTTCCTACTACTACTACTTGTCTTACGTTATATCGGTATGAATGTATGCGTACTTCGTGTTGTCATTTATTCGCGTAAGGTGTTTAGTGTTCACGTTACACTCGCTTCGCTGGTCGCGTTGTTGCTGCAGGGTGAGCACCCTGCAGCTGCTCCATTTGTCGATTCTACAGTCATATGACGCGACAGTACAAATCGTCCACAAGGACATGAGGGATGTAATTGACGTAAAAGAGAGAAGTGAGAGGATAGGAAGGAATGCGAGAAGGAAGAGAACGTGAGGGAGAGGACAGAGGTGTTTGGAGAAAGGGGGACGCGAGAGAGCGGAGGGACAGCCGGGAGAAAAGGGACAAAAGGAGAGAGAGGAGGAAAGGTTCCGCATTCAGGGAAGGAAAAGATCGAAAAGATAGGAACATGAGAGGGTATGGAGGAAGAGAACAAAAGGACGAGAGCACAATTCATCCATTAGCTTTGTTCCTTGTAAGCTTTCCACAGGTAATCGTTCACCTCATTCGACTCACCGTACTTCTACAATTGATAAAAAAAATCCCATGCTGCAGCACCCTCAACCGCACCCACTACAGACACATCCCTGTGGTCCTAGCTGGTGGTTGGCCCTCTGTACCATGCAGGTCTCCGGTTATATCCCGGAAAAGCCCGTTGGCGTGCATGAAGACCAGATTGCGATATGACATTACATGACGCGAATGAACATGTTCGTTACGCATGTCATGATGATGGGCCTTACACAAAAGACGACGAAAAGGCCACTGGCGTCCAAGCCCGTGTGAAAATAGCAGGAGCTAGCTCGCGATAGATAAAATAGATAAAACTCCAATTCCAAGCACCTACAATAGGGTACCTGACCGAAAAAGCATCTGGCCGGAAACCCCAAGAACATGAGGGCTACAGGACGAGACCGCTCAGCGGGTAAGCTCAGCGATGCAACCCTTTTTTACGACCGCAGGCCGCAACGCAGCCGCAAGCCGTCTGCACAGCGCTCAGAGATTTGGCTGCGCTTTTTAAAAGTTCTCGAATCCACCAAGAGGAAACCTTCCCAACAAAATGTCGCCAGCAGCTCTTCCTCCAACAGAACGAAATATCATTACAGCTGCCAAGGACAAACATAGACATAGCGAACCCTTCCATCCTGACGGAAATTAGGTGACCGCTACTGAAAACCCTGCACACAGTGTCCCTGCGCAAACCAGTCGCCCGCATCACAAGATGACGCAGCCCAGAGCCGCTGCACTTATAAACACCTGAAGCAAGCTAACGAGAAACGCGCTCAGGTTGCCGCTCAGGTTACTCCAGGATGCCTACCATCATCATCATCATCATCATCACGTGGTCTACCAAACCCTCAATCCCCCCTGATTGACCCCCCCAGTGGGAAACGGGAACTGCAACAGAACACCGCCACGAGAAACGCAGACACAGCCTTTACCTTCAAAGCTGCGTTCGTGCGTGATAACGAAATTCAACAACAGAAAAGAAAGCGGCCCGGAAATAAAACGAGGGTACCACAGCATAGTCGGGTTGGGAACTGCACCGCACTTCTAGCGCCTTCTAGTATCGTCGGCGGATGGAGGAACGGAGCCCCTAAATGCACGCCACTGCAGGCCGGGCAGCTACGAGAAGGACGAGTACGAAAGATTCAAAGGCATGCAAGGTGCCTTGGTGCGAAGGGCTAAAAGGCTCTTCAGTGCACTGACAATACCAATATTGCCTTGTTACGCTCCACGTAGATGTAGCACGCCACCATCCATCTACCGGCAGGTAGCAAGGTAGGCTCAGGTTAGGACGTCAGCGGTGATCTCATCTTTTTCCTCCCTCACCGGGCTCGTTTTCGTTGGTGATACCAGGGGGACCCTAGATTTGAAAACAACTTCAAAATCCGTATAAAACCAGTGGCGATACCAATTCCGTACTTGAGATTCATCATTATACCGGACAACTACCGCATAAATCAACAGAACGCCAAGCCAATGAATTATGAAACAGACCCAGCCAATACGGGATTTAACACGGGCGGACAGACATACAAACAGATAGTCAGCGACAAATGGTGTCCGCTCTCGGATTCCCCTCAATTCACCAACGAAAGCGGCTGTAAAACGGCCAAAATATAAAACCTGAGAGACCCTCCAGCAGGTGAACATCAGGTACATGATGGCAGCAACGACGCGACAATTTGAACCGACTTCACGGGTAAGCTGCAGGGCATATCTGCGCATCCACAGCCACTTGCATGGAAGCCATGAATCGATTAATTAATCGTGGCAAGTTCTCATATTCAGTAAAACGGGGCTAGCAGCTCAGCGAAAAGAAAGTCGCGCGATATGGCAAGCCCTGAAGCAGCCGATCTCGGAAGCCCTCCCGATACTTATTGCCTAATTTATTTTTGGGGAAAAGGCAGCAGGGCTTATTCAGCGATGGCAATCATACCTTTTTGGTGCCCACGTTTGCTGCTATTTATTGCTGCCCCGTAAGTAATCATTTAGGACCTTGACAGGCCAGCCATCGCTACAAAAACCTGTACGGCTAAAATAATCACTTCGCTGAAAATACCGTGTAGCCGTTTGACACACGGCCGTGCCCGACGAGTGCAACCTGAGGTCCAATCCTCCCATCCCATCCCATCCCATCCCATCCCCTCCCATCACATCACATCCCTAATAGCCCGCACGAAACCCAAATCGCAATTTCACCTTCCCTCCTCCCGTTCCTCCCCCTACCCCACACTCTCCAACAGCACTCCTTTCCAGCCTCCTCTGTTTCTTCTCCTCTGCGTAAAGGCAACGGCTGTCCGGACACTTTATTACGCTATATGTCATATAAGCCGCATCCACTGCAAAACTCGCGCATCCGGCTTAGTGCGGAGGCCCAGTAAAGCACTCCTCCTCCCCTTCCTCCTCCTCCTCCTAAATGACCGATGACTAGAAAGGAACAGCGCATCTAACGCCGGCGCCGGCAAACGTGAACGACTATGCAAAGCGTCTAACAGCCCTCGAGTATAACGACCCAGATGACGGCCCCCTGCACCAGCTACAGTCCTCCACCTCCACCTTCATCACTCGACGGCGAAAAAACAAAAAAGAGAGGAGGTGCCGCTCCCCACCTCACCATATATACCATGTAAACCTCCTTTCTAGAGGCCAACGCAAAAAAAACCCTACACCCGCCCACAGTAAATGGCGCTGAAGGACGGGCGGTGTGATTCCATCGACGGACTTTCATCCCTGTCATCCCAGTTCCCTGTCACCCAAGTAATGTTGCTAGCGCCTAGCCTTTCATTTCGCTAATGCTAACGCTGCGCCCGTGCAGCCCGTGGATCAGCCGCCCGCTGGCGCCCGGGTAGACAGGTAGCAGCATCTACAGCTCGGGTTGCCGTGCGCACTGCTTCCACAAGCTGTGTCACAAAGCCCAGATACACCTCGGGCGGCAGCAGGGCTGGCGGAGCCGCCGCCAGCGGCAGCGTGGCAGTACTGGCGGTGGCTACGGCTGCAGCGACAGCGGCGCCCTCCAAGCCAAAAGCCATATGCTGCAAATGGAGCTGTTGCACTCCTCCACCTGCTGGGAGCCGAGAAGGCCTGTCGAGTGTGGCCGTGACTACGTCTCCAGTCAAAGCTGCAGTCCCGAGCCCCAAAGCAGGCGCAGCTGCTGCCATGGCCACCGGCGGATAAAGTGTCGTGACCTCGTTGGCAAACGCGCCAGTACCTACTGCGCCGCCTGGCTCGCTGCCTGCCCCAATATCGGCCGAAATACGGTTGTTCTTGTATCTGGACGGCATTTGCTCAGCGGTACCCAACGCGTCGCCTGCGATGCCTGTGGCAACTCGGGCGCGCGAGTTGCACGACGGGACCTCACAGCCACCTCCCCCACTACCACCTCCTCCTCCACCACCTCCTCCTCCCCCACTACCACCTCCTCCACCGCCACCTGCACTTCCCACAGATTCGCAGCTACTACCGGAAAGCACAGCGGAACTCATGAAGCCGTCGACTTCCATGTGCACGTCGAACTCCTCAACCACCACAGCGCCGTCGACTGCACCGCCAGAGCCGCCGACTCGACCCAGCTGCCCGCTGCACGACCTGGCCGCCAGAACCGTGTTGGGTGCTTCGCCAGAGTGCGAGTCGGCAGCGCCTGCTGCAGGCGCATCTACTGCTGCGCTCGCTGTTTCAAGGCCCGCCTCAAGGCCGCCGCCACATACCACCGCTGCTGGCCTAACAGGCCTCCGAACGCCGTGATTTCGGCTGGGTGCGGTTCCTGTTAGCGGCTCCTGCTGGTCCCTTACGACCTGCTCCTCCTCCACTGGAGCTGCCGCCAGTGCCGCAGCATCGGAGCGCTTGCCGCTGCCGCTGCAGATGGTGCCGGCGCTAAAAAGAACGCTATCGTCCCCAGAATCATCGTCACCAAAGTCGTCATCAGCATAATCGTCATCGAGCATGTAGCCGCAGCTTCCCAGGCTGCCGCTGCCCAGGCTAATTGTATCGGCCTCAAAGACCTCGTCGCCGTCAGCCGCGTAGCTGAAGCCGGGCCCGGACAGCAGCTCACTATATAGTGCCGCAAGGGGCGGTGGTGCGGATGGCACGTGGCCTGCGCTCGTGGCCGAAGCCGCCAAGGCTGAGGCTGCAGTAGTGGCTGTTGCCGCAGTGGTGGCATCCGCGAGCACGGGAACCTCTTGTGGCCGAGCGCCTGCGTCCAAAGGCGGCAGCCACTGGCCTAGAAGCGGTTCCTCCGTGGCAAAAGCTGGCTTGACGCCATTTCTAACGACGCATGCACCAGCGGTGGGCCCATTGGTACCTCGCACGCCGTTGCTCCTATGCACGCGCGGCGTTATGCGGAAAGAAGTTTGCCAATTGTCGAATCCTGGGCAGCTTCGATAGCCAAGAAGAAGGCCAGGCATTGTCGGGTCGTCGGCGAACTCCATCGCACGAACGCTGTCTCCTGGCAGGACCGTTTCCGCGAAGGCCTCAAGGGCTCCCGGACAGAGGCGCTTTCGGCTTCCAGAGCGAGCCAGTTGACCGGGACATGGGGCTGGAGAAGGAGGGTTGCAAAGCGCGACACGACGAGTTTTGTGTTGCGGGGCGCTTGGAAGGTGCCCGCAATAATGTTGGATGGGAAGGAGATAGTTATATTGTAGGGCAAGGACAAAGCAAAGTAAAGTAAAACAAAAATCAAGAGATTAGGCAACCGAATCGAGGGAAGAATGTAACAAAGCTTGCAGTTGGCAAGCAGTTGCGAAAAAGGAAATTATCCAACGATAAAAGGTGGTATTGATAAATACCGTTTGGTATTGGAAGATTATGAATAGTTCTTGGATGTACCGTTGGTACGATACCGTTGGCCCGGTGAGCCAAGGGCCGCCTTAGCGGCGTTACATTCCCCCCCTCTTGAATGCGAACCCGTCCTCGGGGCGCCTTGAGTGAGGTGGATAATTGGGGATAACTTGCGCTACGATTTTGCAGCGGAATCCGTGGATACGGAGCGACGTATGCACCTGACCTTGGAGGCGGGCGCTATTTGCGCCGTCTCCTAGCATGCAAGTAGCTACGTGGCTAGTGAGGGGCTGTAAACCCCGTTTTTGCACAAGTGTGGCGGATATGAAAACGTGCGAAGCACCTGAGTCGACTAAGGCGACAGCTTTTGTGCTAGTAAAGTTGCACGGTAGTAGTGGCGCGGTGTTTTCAGTCAGAGGTTCTAGTGCAGAACACTTGGACTTTTCCTGGCAGGGGTCGAGCCATGCTTGAAACTCGCCGCTGCAGTTTGGGGACCTGGTGCGACCACCTCCGGGTTTAGGTTCGGAGAAGATATTGGAGTTTTTTGTAAACTCTTTGAGTAAGGTCCAACCGCGTGTTTGAAATTCCTTTTCTAGGTGGGCACACTTGGGCACCAAAATAACCGCACTAGTTGTGTCCGGAGCGCGCTGTTTAAAAGTGCGAAGTTATTCA